TTCAGTAGCAAAATTCAGCCTTTCTTGTGTTGGTACCAAATGGGCATGTGAACACAAGCTTAACAAGTTTTTAAACTTGGCTATTCTTTATATCGGTGCCTAAATGGGGATTTAGTTCCCTAAATGTATCTTTAAGCGTTAGAATATTGTGTCCTAAGTGACTCCGTCCCTGAATTGCAGGCCGGGGATTGTATGGAACAAAGCACTTGTCAGTGCTTTAAGGCCCCAAACTGTATCTGATGGAACCTAGCTTGGAGAAAAGCTACTTAGTGCAATGACGGTGCTTCACCTCTTGCAGGAGCAGCTGAACATTGCATTTGCAGCACAGAACGCTGGGGACTGGGAGCTAATTTCTACTGTGCTAGGAGTTAAGAAATGCCATTTGAGTGCAACACGCAGGAAAAAAGAGCTAGATATGCAAGTTTCTTGTCATTGTTTGAAGGGAGATCTAAACTGTCACCCTCTGGTCCCTCATACTGGCTGTCAAGAGACTCTCACAACACCATCTGTCTGGGTCCAAAAACCCGAGCTGGGAGCAGATGGTAGAGACACAGACTGCAGAGGACAGACATAATGCATGGAGAGAGTTCAGGAGAAATGTTTTCCATTCTGCTTTATCCAAAATGTTCTTGGTACATCGACTTGGCTTAACAACTGCGGAGTTACGAAACTTAGACTTTTCTAAAAAATATAAGGAGATAAACCCAGTACAATACCTGCTCTCAATAACACGTGGGTTTTCCCCGCACACACAGTGTGCAGTTCCTAGTGCTTCACTTCAGGTCTGATTTTTTACGTAGCTGCTCATGAGAAGGATTTCTTACATGCTGGCCATCTCAACAATCTGGAACTACTTGCAAGTACCTGTAGGAGAACTGGAATTTCCTGGAAAGCATATTTCAATTATTTTCTGTTCAGATTGAAAAAGAACAACTCCAACAAACGATTGCTTACTTTTTCATGGAAAAGGTCAGTCTTTATTGTATTGCTTTCACATCTGTACATAGGAACATGAGCTTAAACAATCTGCAAAGTATCTTGTGTTAGATAATGAATCCACCTGACTTATATAAAATTCACTCTCTGATCTATTTCAAAACTCACGATTTAAATAAAACATCTTACTAGCACAGTTCTTGCCGTAATACTGCCCTGAACAGAATCTCCTTGCAGCCACTCCTGCGTATTTTCCCCTGAGAGAGCACTGTCTTTCAACTACTGGCTGGTAGAGTTTTCAATGTGCGATTGTAAAACTTGCTTAAGCGGTATGTAGAGCGTGTCCATGCGGGTGACATGGTATTTATTCAAAAGTTTATCAAATCTGAGTAACATCTTGCTTTTCTGTTACAATAGAACATAGCTTGTATCATTGGCTCATCCAGTCCATCCCAGAATCACCTATGGAAGCCCAGTATGGTGCATGAATCACTGCAGTTAGTGCACACCTAAGAGGCAATGAGCATGGAGAAAAGCCACAACTGACAAGGTCTGATGACAACTCTTCTCGTTGTCCCCTTGTCCTTCTTTTCATCTCTACATTTCAGAGTATGGTTTCTTTCCATGACTTGATCCATTAACCTGGTTATAATCCATTTCAGGTGTTTAATGAATCTGTTTAAAAGAAAACACATAAATACAGCGTAACCCTCTAGACCTAAAATGAACAGAGAAGTCACTGTGGATGTTAGATACAGCACCATGCCATTGACTTCTTTAAAAAAAGGAATAAAAAAAATCAAAACCTTTTGTGACTATGGATAATAATTCTTTGAGAAGTAAAGGCCTGAACAACCTTTCAGAGAAACCAGTGTAGCAGCTTCTGTTAATGTCAGAGCACGCTAGTCCTGAGTGTGATCTTAACAGAGGTGTGACGGTATTCGTGTGAGGGGGATGCGAACAAGCGGTCAACCACAGTCCATCAGGTCAATTGGTAAGGGCTGCTCTTACGAGAGCACAACCAGCTGCGACCCACACTGGGACAGCCTATTTTATGCTAGGTTTGGGATCATCAGACCTACCTTTTAAAACTGATTTTTGAACTGACTACATTTTCTTAACCAGATACTGTTCATTAGACTGTTGTTATTTTTTTGTACAATGTGTTAATTATGTATTGCTGACATTTGTGGTAGCCTCTGATTTTGGTCACTTTCTCTTTTTTTTCTTTGGAGTCACTTTGTTCAAAGCATTTTGGACCCACTGGTAAGTCATTATGGAGTTAAATCATGTTGGGGTAACTTCTTGGTCTTACTGACAAGAATAAATTACTGTTATATTGCTTTATCCCAGTTTATCTAATTTGCCTTGACTGAGCCAAAGTATCTGACAGCTACTAAGAGGTGATTTTTTACTATCATCACAGGTAACCACAAGGCCTGAGAAGCCTTCTTGAAGTAGAAGCAGGGCTGTGGATTATGAAGGTGCCAGGCACTAGCAACTGTACCCGTTTGGTCTTGTGATCTTACAGATGACTAATTAATATAGTGTAGACCGGCGCAGCTCTGATGGGGGATGACTGCCTGGGGATGAATCTGTGCTGAAGAAGAGCCGAGGTACAGAAGACCAAGAGCAAGTCCCCTGGCTGCCTGCAGCTCAGGAGATCACCTGCGCTGCGGGCAGCGAGCCCCTGGAAGGACAGCTCTTCCCTCCTTCCCCTTGACAGGTATTACAGGCCTCCTGCGCGGCGCGGGAAGGCAGGGGACCCTACGCAGTAAAGGTTGTGTCATGGGAAGGGAGTTTGTGGTGCAAAGCCGTAACAGACCTGCTAACAGATCTGCTGTGAGCGTGGAGCTCTGTGAACCAGCTCTCGCGGGGCTGCAGGGCAGCACGCCGCCTCTGCCGGTGTTCGCTTTCCGTGCTTGGAGCGGCGGCGCAGCAGACCGAATGTCAGGGTGTCCGGCACGAGGGGTCCCCAGGCAGGAGGGCTGACACCACTTCACGTGCAGAAGGTGTAACAGAACCTGCAAGGAGCCTGAATGAAGAACGAAATGCGACGGACACGTGTTCTGCGTCAGCAAGGACAGACTGAGGAATACGGTATCATTAACAAAGGGGTTACAGGAAGCCGAAAGCAAACAGGTTGACTGGGAGAAAGGTTCTTCTATGGATTGAAAGCAGATTAAAAGATTGGAAGCAAAGAATAAGGCTTGGTAGGAAAGAAGTCAGTAGCAGGGTTTACCCGGGACCAATTTTTATTCAACATCACCATTAGTGACCCAGAGAAGAGAGTGAACAGAGAAATCTCCAAGACTGCAGAATAAGCTCTTCAGGTATTCAGATGCTGTACTGACAGCAAGGAACTCCAGGAGGATTTCGTAGCATTGGGTGGGCAAAAGGTGGCAGGTTTGGAAAACACTTGCTGAAGGGCTGGGCAGCCATGTGCTGCCATCCCTCATTCTACTCTTGTGGATTCTGGGAAGTACAAAGAGAAGGGACGGCAGGTTTTGCTCAAGGTCAAGGGGGCCTACAAGAAAGATGGGGACAGGCTTTTTAGCAGGGCCTGTAGCAACAGGACAAGGGGGAATGGTTTTAAACTAAAAGAGGGGAGATTCAGACTGGATATAAGGAAGAAATTTTTCACGCTGAGGGTGGTGAAACACTGGCAGGGGTTGCCCAGAGAGGTGAGAGATGCCCCATCCCTGGAAACATTCAAGGCCAGGTTGGCTGGGGATCTGCGCAACCTGATCGAGTTGAAGATGTCCCTGCTCACTGCAGGGGGGTTGAACTAGATGGCTTTTAAAGGTCCCTTCCAACCCAAACCATTCTATGATTCTATGACTCAAGGAAAATCACCCTGAAAATCTGGTTTACTCACATAGCTGGGAAGATCTAGGGAAATGGTTCTGTGCTATTAAGAAGCTAAAGTTTTTATTAATCAAAATTTTGCCTTGGGGTTTCTATAGTTATGTCAAAAGGGGGATGGACGGGATGGCCTGGAAAGGGCCCTCCCATCCCAAAGCATTCTGTGGTTCTATGGGCTCTCTCAGCGAGCACCCCTGCCCCGGCCAGAGGCAGAACACAGGGCTGGGGGATCGTGGTCTGACTCTGACATCTCCTATGTTCCTGTGCACCACTTACCGCAGATGCCAGGTCAGAAACAAGAAGCGCTTTTGGGTTCAATGAGGTATTTCTGTCCCATGTCTATCAGCTACAGCACCCTGCCAATGGTAATCCCATGCTCAAAATCCTGTCTCTTAAACTAAGAAGAAGAAAAGGGGAACCAGCCGCTCTAACAGGTTACTCGTTTGATGTTTATCTGATTGCTTTCCAAGTGGAACTAAAAACTCTCATCTACAGCAGACAGTTCAGGGAGATCGGTAGTATTCTGCATTGTAGATCCAATTCTAGGCTGACTTAAAAATAGCACAGCAAAATGTACTGGGCCTCCAAAGCAAAGTATAAAGCTGTCTAATGGAAGGTTCAGATGTTGCTGGAGGGCCGCTAGTCCAAGACTGTAATTTGTAGTGGCAGATATTAAATGGGGTGTGAATGATACAATTGACCAGGATATTCAATCTTGCCTTTCTATTCAGCTGATTAAAAGTCTGTCCTTCAAATTTGATGTGAACCTAATTTTCAATAGAAAATTTCAAAAATTTCAAAAAAAAACAATGTAAAATTAAAAGGTAGCAAATATTTTTAAAATCTCAGAACTGTCATCTTCCAATAGCCTAAGATACCTGTCAGCATTTACCCGTATGGCTACTACAGCGTAACTCTAGCATCAGAAGAAGAAACTCGGTCATGATATTGTTGTTAATTCTGCCTGTGAAGTTATTGTTCAGAATTCAGGCTGGAGCAAAGGAAACACGGTGACTCTGTTTCGCATCCTGACATTGTCCGCTTTCTGCTTCTGGACTTTCTGCAGGAGTCTGTTTCAGACCTCGTGGCCTGTTTGGGCTCTGCTCTCTGAGCAAGCCTCGGGTCTTTTTTTCTGGCCCTTCAAAGAGCATATAGCCTTAAGTCGATTAACTGAACCAGAGCTCTGCCCAGCAATAGATCATTCAGATCAAATAGCGTCACCATTTTCCATTATACCGTTACTTCCCATATATGGCTGCTGTTAGGCTTTACCCCTTTTATCACATATATTAGAAACGTCTGTGTCCTCAGAGAGCATCATTCAAACTATTCAGCTATTTTTTTCCCAAGTTTGTAGCCAAAGTACTAAAACTCAGCTGGGAAAAGAAAGACAGTTTGACAGTTTCCCTGAAGAAATGGAAAGATTTAGCCACTCCTGTCTCCTATTTAATTCTTTGGGACAGTTGTACTCCATATAAACTAGAGTCACTACGAGGGGACAAATGCAAAGAGCTGGACTGACCGAATACACGAACAAAATGTCTCTAAACAAATGATTCTTTTCTTCTCTTTTAGGATTGCTAGTTGCTGGCTGAACTACAGCGTCACTGTGCCCCTCCTCCAGAGGAAAGAAACACGAAGAATGAAATTGGATTCATGTCTTCATTCCTTTGACCACTTAAAAACTGATAATTGGTTATTGCCTCCTATTGAAGCAAGTTGATTACAGTAAGCTTCATTTTTGTAGGGAAGAACTGCAGAAATTATTATTTTTTTAATTCTTCTTTAAAATCACTTGTGGCTGGGGCTTTTAACACATGAAACACTCAGGCCTGAACTATTTCTGTCCTAAATTGAATGTCTCCTTATTTTCTATGCCTCATTTTAATTCATGTTATTAACAGCAGCTTTTGGAATCCTTTTCTAAAAATCTGCCTCCTCTCTTTGCATTATATAAACGAATGCATTTGGTAGAAAATCACTTGGGACTGTCCATGGCTGTGGTTAACGAGTCTGTCGGGACAGTTCATCAGTTAACCACGATTTTGTCTTCCTTCCATCTAGGACGGAATTCCTGTTAAGAACAGTCAGCGTACAGGAGTCTCTTTAAAGCAGAGCTATCAGGTGAGTTTGAGCACTCAACGTCTATTCATTTTAATAACATCTAAGAATTCAAAACACAGTTCTAAAAATGACAGCTATTGCTCTTAATCCTGTTGTTACTATAATTAATGTAAAATAGCTGACTGATCTGTACCATGGAGTCAACAAGCCACCTTTTTTTTTTTTTTTTAATGTGGAGATTTCTACAAATAAGGGAAGAACATAGTGAAAAATGGCAAGGTAAAATAAATAACGGATGACTCTGCTCATTATTTTTAAGATAAGTCTGACAAAGAAGAAGTCAGGAGGTGGATTCTGACGCGTGTATGTGTATCCTGACACTGCTAGTGGTAAGATTCTTCTGATCTGCTCCTTTACGTGGCACCTCTGTTTCAGAGAGATGGAACGGAGGCACAAGTGAGTTAAGCTCACAGAAGACATCAGTGGCAGACACGGGAAGGAGTCCAGCACCTTATTTCCCTCTCCACGAGGCCGTGCTGTCTCTCATGGCCACTGAGCCTGCATTTCTAGCTGGCACTATACAGATGAGCTAGTGAGTGAAGCTGGCTCTTTGAGTCGGGATTTAGATGCTGACATTCAGAAGTGCTCAGTCACAAGTTTCTGAGTGCTGGATTCTGCTCGCTGAAGACATTCATCATAATTCACCTTGATGAAAAAATATAGGTAATGCTTTTACTGTAAGATTAAATAAATCCAGTATTTCCTATTCAGTTTTCATTATCGATTGCTTTTGCTCATTTTCTTTCTGATCAGAGTACTTTGTGATGAGTCACATCTGATTTTAAGGAAGTACAAGGAGAACAGTCATACCACCTTATTCCAGGGGACTTCAAATATGATAAGAACCTGGCACTCTCGCACTAAAAGAGTAGATGACATGAGCGAGCTCAATTCTGCTCAGTTTGCACAGATGGATTTCTCCATTTCAATAGGACAGGAGGCTTCGTTGGGCTGCTTCGTTGTCTACCTTCAATCTCAGCCACCAATTATGCTCAGAAACCTGGACACAATTTTGCTCCTATTGAGTTTATTCAAGTGAGGGTTTTGCTGCGAGAGAGAACAGAGCTTTTCTGATCCACACGCTCTTTTATTTTTACATCTAAATTAGCCTTTCCACATTTTGCAGAATCGCCTCTTGGGATTTCCCCTCTTTGTTTCCCTGTCACGCATGCCACTCACCTCCCGGGTGCAAGGCACCGCTTTCTAAATGCAAAGAGCACACTGCGAGGTTTCAGCTGAGGCTAATCATAGCTTTTTAGTTGTTCTCGGTAATCACTGGTGAGTCAGATGAAGAACACTCCTCTACATTTAATGCAAAGAGTATGCCTATGTATTTTTCATCTCTGCTGGTAAAACCGAGACCCATTCTTCCTGCAGGGCCTTGGGAATCCTCAGCACGTCTGGGTCGAAGCGAACAGGGCAGGTGGGCAGCCTTCCGAGGCCGACGCAGAGAGAGCACGGGTCAACGCTCGTACAGAACCCGGGTCACTGCAGGCTAGGCACCAACGCCATTTAAATCTTCCCTTTCGGTGCCTTACTTCTACTCCCAAAGCAGAAAACACAGCTCCCAGTTAGGGCCCTCTTCTGCCTGCCTTGCTCGGGAACTGGTGAGGAGGAATGGCACAGAACAGTGAAGAAACCTGGAACCAGGATATCAACACAAATTCCTTTGCATGGTGACATGCTGAGTCTTTGCCTGGTAGCTACATAATTATGCAATTTGTGGCCTGGTTGCTGCGTATATAAATATAATTAAACCTATAAATAGATGAAGCACAGTCATAGTATATTTTTTGCTCTCTAATAATTGATCCAACTTTAGGGACTTGTGATTTGATTCTCAGTGGAAGCCACCACCTAACATGCCAGCTTCCATATTCAAGGATCAAGGCTGGAGCTGGGACCTGTGCAGAGCTCCATTCACTCAAGGTAGGTACAGACTGAGGCTTACTTCTGAGCTTGATGAAGACCTCTGCATTTTGATTTCTACATATGGAGGTGACATGGTTTTACAGTTAGAGTATCAAGAAGTTTGCAGAGCTGCTTATCCTATTAATATGAAGGAAGATTTTAAGAAGCCCGTTTACCTATGCTGAACGGAATTGTGCTCCGACCCTACGCTCTATCAAGCTGTGTTCATGTACTAGGAAAAATCCACTGAGGAAAATTATGTTGTTGATCTCCTTAGATCTTCCTGAAAACTAGATGCAACTCATCATGACAAATCCTAGTCAGCAAAAAAAGTGAATAAAAAAAATGTTTACTCCCTGTATTAGATGGTGTTGGAGTAATAAGATTTGGGGTTTGGGGAAAGGTATTTGGGGGGAGAAAATGGCTAGGGCTTTTTGTACCGAGGAGTTTGCTTAAATTTCCATTAGTTTTTATGAATTTCTTTCCTGGAATACAGAGCACGTGTGTCATTTGCCCAGCTGAAAAGGGAGAGGAGGAGACAGCCACAAAAGTAGCCAACAGTGTTTGCTGAGAGTTCAGTTCTGCTCCAGACCTTCTATTCTAGCAGAAGTGATTCCAATCCAGCAGCTTGGGATGGGCCACCAGATGTTGCACGGCCACCTTCATTTGCAGTAACTATATGCAGTGGAATTTCTTGAGTGGCAACAAAGATCTGTCGTCCCCCCCCCCCAACTTGTTATGCTCCCCTGTGCCTCTGAGCAAGCTTTGCTCAGCTGTGTTTGTGCAATCAATGTTACTCCAACACCAAAAATTTCCATTTTTTCCTTCTAAACTATTGACCAAAATCAGCTACTATTGCTTTATATGGAATCTGTATAGAAATAGTTAGGAGATGGTTTTAACCTGTATGAATGACAGCACTACAAGAAAGGTTTGTTTGGGGTTTTTTCAAATTAGAAGACTGACTAAAACAGCTTGATGTTAAATGGTATCTGGATGGTATGTTCACCAAGGTTATGTTTGTAACCTTACAACAGAATTTCCTATTTCCATAATTTCAAATAGAAAATAAAAATCCTGAACTGGTTTTCAAATTCACAGACAATATTTTGTTAAAAATTCTACTGGCAGATTTGCTAACACATTTTAATTTAAACTGTTAAAATGTTTTCATTAACATACATTTGGCACAGAAAGTCCTAGCTAGAAATAGTGATTTTCTTTCCAATTGCATTCCAGTGTTTTAAAATGCTAAATCCTTACATTTCCAGAGTTTTAGTATCACTCAAAACTACAAGAATAAATTGATGAAGCAAACCCTCGTGCTACGATTAACGTGGGAAGAATGGTGAGCTGGGTAAGTGTCTTATTACCCAAGAGAGAGGTTTTAAAGGGCATCTGATTAAGATGTATTTCTGCGTCGAGTATGGTCTCTGAATTTTAATAAATATCAGCCTGGACGTTAATTTAGATTCAGAGCTGCTTTCGAAACCGGATTAGCGAAGTTGTTGACCAGCTGCAGACGTAACACCTCGCGTAACATCTGCAGTGGCTCAGAACTGTGAAAATGAGTCCTTAGGGAGGGAGATTCTCCTCGGACGCGGCGCGGGGCCCCCGGGCTCCGCAGCGCCGGGCCCCGGCCCTCTGCCCGCCCAGCGGGGGGCCACTTCCCTTGCGAGCCCTCTGCGACTCCGCGGCCCTGCACCGGAGGGAGCGGGGCCCTTGGGAAGGGAAGATGCTGCGCGGAAGGAGGCGAGACGCGGCGAGGGGGTCGCGGGGCCGCGGCGGCCCCCGGGCTGCGGCCATGGCGGGACCCCCGGGCCGGGCGCTGTCACCCCGCAGTCGCTTCGGAGCGCCCCGGGGCGTCACTCCAAGTACCCGTCAAAGACATCCAGCTCGCTGTCCGTCTCGTAGAGCACGGAGCCAGGGTCGGAGAGCACCCCCAGATCCACCAGAGCCTGGTCCATATCCTCGGGCAGGAAGACGATGCCTACATTGAGAACGATGTACTCCATCAGGAAGGCATAGTACAGGATCAGCACGTTGACAAAGAACAAGCCCACGTAAAACATATAGGGCAGCACCAGCAGCGCATGGAAGGCCCAGGACTCCAGCGAATCCAGACGTGCCGAGACCGCGGCGGGCATGCAGCCGTGCGGGGCTGCGGCGGGGGGCAGCGGGCGCCGCAGCGGGCACCGACC